CTTCTTAAAAACCTCCAGTGATAAAGCATCTACAATTTCTGAAGGCAAGCTATTCCACTAGTTAATTGTCCACTGTTAGGAAGTTTCTCCTTAGTTGTTTCTCTTCTTGATTAGTTTCTATCTGTTGTTTCTTATTTTGCCTTCTGGTGCTTTGAAAAATAAGTTGACCCCCTCCTTGTGGCAGCCTCTCAAATACTGGAATACTGCTATCATGTCCTCCCCCCAGTCCTTCCTTTCTCTATACTAGTCAAACCCAAATCCTGCAACCGTTCTTCATATGTTTTAGTCTCCAGGCCTTTAATCATCTTAGTTGCTCTTCTTTGCACTTTTTCCAAAGTCTCAATATCTTTTTTTTGTAATGTGGTGACCAAAAATAGATGCATTATTCCAGGTGTGGTTTTACTAAGGCTTTATAAAATGGTACTAATACTTCACATGATTTTGATTCTCTGTCTCTGTTTATACAGCCAAGGATTGTATTAGCTTTTTTGGCTGCTGCCGCACACTGCTCGTTCATATTTAAGTGATTGTCCACTAGGATTCCAAGATCCTTCTCACAGTTACTGTTTTTGAGCCATATTTCGCCTAATCTGTACTTGTACCTTTGGTTTTTCCTGCCTGTGTAAAACCTTGCTTTTCTCCACATTAAATTTCGTATTGTTGGATAGGGCCCATTTGTGATCATGCAGGGCACAGCACAGAGGCAAAACAGTCAACTGGCAGTTCAAACTGCCCTTTATTTGCTCCAATTTTCCCCAAAAGCTCCCACGTTTCTGCAAGCCACAGAACAAAGTAAGACACACACACCTTCAGCAGCCTCTGGCTGCAAGTAGTTTCACAAGTTTTTAACTCTTCAGGCAGGGAAAGTGTGTGTATGGAACAAGCCAGTGCTCCTTCAGGTTTGGACACACAGAGTTAGATTAGAAGAGTAATTTACTCAAGGCTACGTAGATAACAAGGAAAGAAACATACATCCAAAATCTAACCAGTCTGTGGAAATACAAGCTTGCCTGAGCAGTTTCAGAAGAGAAGCCAAAATTCAATCCGAGGTCTTTGAACACTACATCAAGTTTGTCAGCCAGTCCAATGATCAGAGTTTCAGGGTTTCCAAGCAGAAATCACAACACAGAACAAGAGATCAGAGAGTTGTTTCTGTTGTGATTCCGTGCCAGGCTGTGTTCCCAACAGCTGAGTCTGAGGAATCTGAGGAGGAGGTGGAGGAGGCATTTGAAGGGTCATCAGGGTCAGAGGGAGGCTCTGATGAATTACAGGACTCACGGCTTGATGAAGAGCCTGGGCCCTCCAGTCGTGTTCCTGATGAAGCTCAGCTGTGTGAGGGGACTGAGTCAGACTCGGACGACTCACACCTGATGGACTTGCTAATTGATGCTTGCGCACGCAGGCAATTAGCAAGAGTAAATCAGCAGCAGTCAATGGGACAACTCCAGAGAAAACGGAGAAGGCACTGAGAGGCAATGCCTTGGAACTGCTGTATAAAAAGAGGAGGTGTGGGCGGTGCTGGTTGCTGAAGGCAACCGTTTGTAAGAACTTCCAGGGATCATGGTCTGTTTGTTTTACCGATGAATGTCTTGTTTAACTCCTGCTGTTTGTTTTTTTAACCAATTATCTGTTGGAAAAGTATTCTTTTGTTTTTGAGAAAACTTATCAGGACTGTTTTTGAAATAAAAAGGGGTTGGTTTTCCCAGCCTACTGTTAAAGAGGGGTTTGTTTTTGTGACGCAACAAAGATGGATGTAGGCTGGGACAGAACAGTTTCCAAGATCAGCAACGGCACACAAAACTCCAAGCATTCAGCGTTTGTTCCCGACAAATGCCCCTCCCCACAGCATCTCCTTAAGTCTCAGTCTCCAGGTGTGCTTTGTGGAGAGGGGCAGGGAGCTCTCCTCCCGACTAGTTGAGTCTGCCTGCGTTGTTCCCTCTTTCTCTCTATTCTCCATGCTCTAGGATCAGGAGGGGGTGGCCCTTGCTCCTCACTTGAGCTCTGTCTCTCATGTTCATCCTGTCCCAATCCTGAAAGGCTCTGGCCTGCCTCAGCCTGCTCTTCCCCACATTCCTCTGAAGCCACAGACACCCCTCCCTCAACCTCCATGGTTCCAGCTCATTTTCCTCAGCAGATTTAGTCTCCAATGGGAGCATGACACCATTGTTGAAGTCTGTCAAGATCTTTTTGGATCTTGAGCTTGTCTTCTGGGTTGTTGGCTATTCCTGCCAGTTTAGTGTCATTGCAAATTTCATGAGATCCCCTTCTATTCCCTGATCTAAATCATTCATGAAGATATTGAAGAGTACTGGGCCTAAGACGCAACCTTGTGATATCCCACTGCTTACTTCCCTCCATGTAGGCATAGTACCATTAAGGACTACTCATTGAGTATGGCTTGTCAGCCAATTACAAATCCATCTGGTGGTGCTGCTGTCTTTCCCACATTTTTCTAGCTTACCAAGAAGTAGGTTGTGGTCTTATTTGTCAAATGCCTTGCTGAAATCTAAGTATACTATGTCTACAGCATTTTGCTAGTCTACTAATTTAGTCATTTTGTCAAAGAATGATTATAAGATTGGTTTGACATGATCTATTTTTAACAAACCCATGCTGGCTTTTAGTTATAATTTTATTTGTTTCTAGATATTCGCAGATCTGTTTTTTGATTATCTTTTCCAGTATCTTCCCAGGTATTGATGTTAGGCTGATTGGTCTGTAGTTTTCTTTTTTGAAGATGGGAACCACATCAGCTCTTTTCCAATCCTCAGGTAATTCCCTGATGTTCCAGGATTTTTGAAAGATATGGTACAATGGTTCTGAGATGACATCTGCCAACTCCTTTAGAACTTTGGGATATAAACCATCAGGTCTCGATGATTTATATTTGTCAAGATCAGATAGGTATTCTCTAAGCGTTTTCTTGCTTATTTTAATTTTTATTTCTAGTCTTTTATAGTTAGTTTTTTGTTAGGTTGGGCTATAGTTTCTTTTTGCGTGAAGACTGATGCAAAGAATGAGTTAAGCAGCTCTGTTTTCTCTCTACTGCCTGTTACTTCCTTGCCATCATCTCTCTTAAGTGGACCTATTGTTTCCTTGACTTTTTTCTTGTTATTTATATCTTTAAAGAAACTTTTTTATTATTATTTTGACTTTTGTTGCAAGCAGATTCGGGCTATATGCTGATATTCTGCCTTAGTTTTGTGTTCCTCTTTCCATTTTTGTACTCGTCACTTTTATCTTTCAGTTCATCAGACAGATCTTTGTGCAACCATGCTGGTTTTTTCTTGGTTTTCTTGGTTTTCTTTTTCAATGATATTGTGCTGGATTTTATGATCATATTTTTCAGAGTTTCCCATCACTTCTTGAGTTGTTTTCCTTTTCAGGATTTTCATCCATAAAATTTTTCTTAGGCTCTCTCTGAGTTTGTTAAAATCAGCTCTTGTAAAGTTTAAGACACTGACTGTATTATGTTCTATTGCTTGTGTTTGCATTATATTGAATTCCAATATGACGTGGTCACTCTCGCCCAAAATTCCAGCAATTTCAACTATCACTTCTTCTCTATTAGTAAGAAGTAGGTCTAGTATAGATTTTCCTCTAGTTCCCTCCTCTATCTTTTGGATGACAGAGTTGTCAGCTAGGTTGGTTAGGAATCTGTTTGATCTCCCACTTGTTGCAGAGTTTGTCTCCCACTTGATAGTTAATGTCTCCCATTATTGCTGTGGTATATTTCCTCTATACATTCAACTCAGAATGAAAAAAAATGATTATAAGTTTAAGCATGTAAAGAATTTGAGATAAACAGTGAAAAGCTAAATATGTTTTTTGATCTAAGAAACCTATAACTGGATGAATGGTGCAGATAAATTTGGAATATTGACTTTTACTAAGTGTTTGGAATTAACTAAAAATAGTTTCTTATGGGAAACAGGCTTATTTTGGCTATCCTGGCTATTGTAAGTCATAACAAAGATAAGTTATTTTATGATTTTAGAAACTGAACACTAGAGGGGACTAAAGATTCTAAGCAGAAGAGGAAAAAAAATGCAAGCCTGTTCTTGATGTCAGTTAATACTGGGACTTAAAAATGGTAAAAAATATTATGAGAAACGTTAAAGGAAATCTTTAAAGAATGGAACCAGAAACTAGTAACTACAATATCAATAGTCAGTAATGTCTGCTTCTGTGGATAGACTATGTCCAAAATATATTAATGAAGAAATGACAGATGTGAAACAAATTTTGTCTGAAAAGACAGAGAAAGTACAGAGTGTAGAACTACAAATGACTGTTCAAGAGAATGATTTGGAAAAGGACCCTTTACTAGATACATAAAAGAAACTGGCTGAAATTTTAAAAACTAAATGGAAATACAGACTAAGTCAGCCTCTAAGTGTTCTCTTATTGGATCTACAAAAGAGGCTTGCTCCATCCTTGAAGAAATCTGCAATGGGATAAAGAAGATTAACGATAAATTAAATCCCATGACAATATTTGATTGAATTAAAGATTAAGATTCCTAGAACTAAAGAAAAGAAATAAAATTGATTTATTTAATCAAGGTTAAAATAACACACTGTTTTGCACAGTTTCATAGAATTTTTGTTGATACCAGGATTGAAAAAATGATGCTTTATGGATCTGCTTATTAAATTATCAATTAATTAATAACAGATGTTTAATAATTTATGTGTAATCTTGTAAGGCTGAAGAGTTACTAAATTTGTTTATATATGTGATGAAACTTAGAAGTCATTTTAAATGTATTTTCTTTTATTATATTTCTTTTTTTCTTCATCTTTTTACTGCACTTTTTATTCCTTTTTCTATTCTTTTCTCTGCTACTTATTTTTTTTTTTGCCGTTCGAGTTTAGTTGTATTCATATTTACTATTGTAATAAAAATTCTTATTAAAAATACATTTAAAAAAAGAAATGACACTTTGCATGTTTTACAGAGAAATTTTAAAGCTTTGATCTTGTTTTCTTTGCTTAAAGGTTCTGCTGGAGCCAGGAGTGATTCAGGATGTGCTTGCTGCAGGTAGCCATCTCCAGCTGCTGGAAATGCTTAGTTTATGTTCACACTATCTTATCCAGGTAAGGATAATAACATGGATATTTTTCTTTGTTTTTCTGAGCTCAGTTCAAATGCTATATATAGGGATGAATTTCAAAGTACAGTACTTGTAGCTCAATGTGATAATTACCATGAATTAGCATGGATTTGTCAAAGACAAATCTTGCTAGACTAAGATTTAATAGATAATGAGTAAGATATATCTTTAATAATAGATTTAGTAGATTATGAGTAAGATATATCTTTACCTCAGTAAGCCATTTAACAAAGTTGTAATTGGCAACAATTAAGTATTGGCTTGGTGGTATGACAATGAAGATACTCTGCCTTGAAAATGGTGCTCAAAAACTGTTCATTCAAACTTCCTTGTCCAACTAAATGAAACATCAGATAAGGTCCCACAAGTTTTAGTCCTTTACTTGTATTCTTTAGCTTTTTTTTTTTTTTTTTTAAACTTATATAGGTGGTTGGAGGAAATACTTATCAAATCGAAACATGGAAGAAAATTGGGCAAAATAGCTAATACACTAGAAGGGAGAATTAAATTCAAATACCCTAGAAGACAGCAATAAAATTCAAATCTGTCTTGATAGGTTAAAGAAAGAGGCTGAAGAACAACATGACATTTAACAATTTAGTTATTCTTAATTAAAGGTATTTCCTATAATAAATACTGACTTTCATTAGCCCTACAACTTGAAATGAAAAGCATTCACAATTAAATTCTTTTTTGTTACGCTACAGTGGTGGTGATGCATTCAGCCTTACCTAATCCATTTTTTAAGAATTTCATTATTAGCATGTTAGTACAATTTCCTGCTCCATGCAGAGATCCAAATTAAATGATTCACAATAAATGAAAAAAAAATAGCCTCTCAGGGAATTTTTACAACTATTGCTCGTAATGTTTTGATTTTTTCTTTAATATTAAACCATAATAGGTTTCATAAAACTTAAATAGATTGTTCCATGTCTTGACATAGTTGATGCAGAACATATTTCTTCATCTTTTTAGGCACTTATAGAAGAGTTATCGTAATTCATCCATCACCACTATCAATTCTATTCTAACATTCAGAGATCTTTTAATTTCTTTTATAGGATTTATTTTCAGGTCTTCTAATCATACACATTGTTCTACCTGGCCTAAATCCTCTTTAAAGAGTGGTGGTCTCAGGTGGACAAAATACTTAATGTGCAGTATGACCACTGAAAAATAAAACATGATCAATACTTCTATTTGGTAACTATACTGTTAAAATTTGGCCTAAAATCGATTGATGTACTTTACATCCATAATACCTTGCTGATTTAAGGTCAGTTAATAATTACTTTTCTAATATCTTTTTAACAAATATATATATATAGTTAATATATAGAGAATTGATATCACTTTCACTTTATTATATAACTAAGGTTACGAATATGCCAATGATATTCTTAAAATGAGGAAAATTAAAATCATGGTCAAAATATCAAAGTTATAACTTTGATATATAATCCAGGGAAATCATGGATATTTGTTTCTTCCTTCAAATTTAATTTGTTAATCTGTTTAAAATATTTAACTGGCACCAGCTAAATATTTAATCTGTTTAAAATATTTAATTGGAATCACCTAAAAGAGCAATGAAAAAGTAATTTTTATGACTTTATTCCTTTTCATGGGAATAGTTTCAACTATGTCTTAATATCTTATTTCCTCTGGATAATACATAAATATTTTTTTCAACTAAGTATTTTCCATTGATTTTCCTAGAGATAATTATCTTCATCCATTAGGACCTTCTTTACAATTACGGTAATATAACACAGTATTTGATTTATTCCTATGGATTATATAAACAAAATATTTACCCTATAACTATGGAGTCCTTAGTGCTGTGCGAGGTTGTTTGTTTGCTTGCAGATCTTTCCTTATCAGACTACATAATATCTTCAACACTGAAATATTACGTAGTCTGGTAAGGAAAGATCTGCAAGCAAACAGCCAAGCTCAGGGAACATCAGGAATTTCACAGTTCAACCCTGAGCTACAGCATTGTCTATTGCTACCCAATAACTGTTTAATTTCTGCAAATTTACAGAAAGAATGTGGATACTCATTAAAGATACTATTATCCATATATAACAGCAAGTTATATTCAAATTTGGGTAATGAATTTCTTGAATTTCCCCAGTTTGTCTTATTAAGCATAGTGAGGGTTTAACATGAAATGAAGGGAGATAAAGGAATCCTTGATACATGCCACTTTGCAATTTAAGTACCAGTGAGATAATCCCGTTATTAATTACTTGAGCAGAGGGATTAGAATAATAAACTGGTATCTATGAAATAATTTTTGTAGGAAATCAAAACTTCTACTTTTCCCTGAACTAAAACCATAATTTGCAGGACTGTATATTGAAAGCTTTTTCTGCACTCAGCAAAGCTAAAAGCGATGATATGTGTTTACTAACAAACAAAGTCAGTATGTGAACTAAGTTTAATTTTATCTGGGTCATGATGTATTTATAGAATCAGATTATGTAATATTGTTTTGTTATAGGTAAATAAACTTCTCTAATCTTCTTGCAATGCATCTGTTAAAATCTTAGCAACAGCACTTAATAGAGATAGCAGGCAGTACTGTGCAGTGATCCGGGTCCTTATCAGCTTTCAAACTTTCAGTTATATAAGCTTCATAATAAGAAAATGACAGGGCCTCCTCTCCCACCCCCAATAAAATGTTTAATATATTTTCAAAAGCATAGAGCTTCCTTTTTTATCACATTGTGTAGATTCTCCATCTGGCCCAGGGGTCTTTTTGGATATTGTTATGTCAATAGTATCATAGATTTTCTGCAGTGTTATAGATGCAACTAAATTCTCTGAATTAGGATTTTGGATAATTTATTGCATTTTTTTTTTTTAAAAAAGTCCTTGTTGCCTATAACTCTATTAGGCCGCCGCGGTGGCTGAATGGTTAAGATGCTGGGCTTGTTGCCTGGAAAGCTGGCAGCCCAGGTTCAAGACCTGAGTGCCACATAATGGGGGGAGCTCCCGTACTCACCCCAGCTCCTGCCAACCTAGCAGTTTGAAAGCCTGCAAATATGAGTAGATAAATAGGTACCACCTTGGTAGGAAGATAACAGCGCTCCATGATGCCATGCTGGCCATGTGACCACGGAAATGTCTATGGACATTGTTGACTCAATGACTTTGACACCAAGATGAGCACTGCCCCCTATGGTCGGCAACGATTCGCAGAGTGAAATCTACAGGAACTCCTTTTTTTACAACTCATTTTGCTGAAATATAAAACCTAAAACTTGAAAATTAATTTCATTATAATTTCTATGAATTAGCCAATTGAATCTCTTTAGCAGACATTGTGTTACCTTTTTTCAGATGTTTTTTCGATGAAAAAGCAATAACTCTCTGTTCCAATATGTTTGTTTCATTGGTTTTATGAAATATTCCATTTCCAATGCATATAATTGATCTGGCTGTAACTTAAAGAATCTAAAACATAATATGCATTCTGAGTTTGATTTGTAGAATACAGTTTCAGTGCTTCTTTTAATTCCAGTTTTCATATTCTATGCTGCAGCGCACACATCTTTTTCCTCCAGGAGGTGTAGGCTATTATCTCACCATAAATATATGCTTATCCCAATCTGCCCTCTCTATTTATTTGAGAAAAAAAGAGTAAAAAAACCCACTATATCTTTTTTTTGCAGTTGTTCAACAAATTGAGAGTCTTCCAGCAAAGAATTATTAAAATATCATCTGATGAGATTCTACTTTTCAAAACCAATGATAATACTACTGGTGTGTGATCAGAAATGAGCCTGTTTAATTTAGTTTGTTATGGTTGTAGATCAGAGTAACTTAAAATAATAAAATAGGTACATCAAAATTGAAACATGAGTAAAATAATATATCAGAACTCATATGAAAATTACATTAACTTAAATTACTTGCATGTATGCTATCTGAAGCAACTGTTCACATTCCATCATAGCCAGTATAGAGAAACTGACTGTATTTCCTTAGATTTCTACCTCCTGATCAGCTCATAGGAGACTGAGAGATCATTGTCAATCCTGCTTAAATACTGGGTTGTGATGGGAGAAATGCATATAGACACACACTGAATTTCTCTATAAAAGTATACAGTGCAACACTGCGTGATCTACAATTTTGATTTTCCCCTATCAAAAGTCAAGAATAGATGCTACTCTTTAGGAACATTGCAAGATCTGTTCTGTAAAAGAGCAGACAGAAGAGTGGGCCAATGTAAAAGCTCTTCTTATAAATTACATTAAAATTAATTTAAACTCAAACTACATGTGCTTGAGTTTCAATGAATGCTACTCCAGTCTCTGCTGAAAGGACTGGGTTTGGGATGCATTGTGGAATCAGAAATAAATCCTTTCGAAAACCTACGGTAATCGGACAACTTCTACAAAACTTTTTGTAGTCATATGTTTGAAAGGCACAAAATAGCTATACTTCCAACTTTGACTTCCAACGCTTTCTGTTCACTAGGTGTATAAGTTACCTCCTTTCATATGAAAAAGACTTAAAATGTCCACTTTCCATTAATCCTGTTGGGAAATTAATACATATTGTAATTTTTTTCCCATGCAGGATTCATACTAATTGTTCCTGCATTTTAAACCAGTTTCATTTAAAAGTTGTCTTTTCTTTCATGACTATTTCCCCCCCAAGATTAATTGTTGAAGTATCAAATGATTTGTCCCACATTCAGAATTCTCATTTATCTTTTTTCATTCACTAATTTCTCAGTTTTCATCATAAACAAATCAGTTGTGCTTTTTGGTTCATTCCTTTTTTCATATGTATGTGGAAAATAGAGGTAATCTTAAACTATGTATCTGAAATTATCATTTTCTCAGAAGATGCTCATCTCTCCTCATTCTCATTCATTCTTAGTCTCCAAATGGCCTAGGTTTTTTGGGTTTTTTTGTATTCAGTTCACATTTATTCAGAATGCTATGTGTTTTTTCTCCA